ATCAGCTATGTGAAAGTGATGGGTGGCTATGACTTTCCCGGCTCCAATTCGATCGTTGATCTTCATGCTTTGACAGGTAAACTACTGAGTAATAAATTGTCTACAATACTGTATTCAAATTGGTTTTCTTTAGGATGGATACCAAAATTGCTAACATTACATCACTCGGATACACCATTTAATAAAGATATTACTTGTTAAAAAGCTAAAATCATACTTCTGCACTATCTGCCTCATTCGAGGCGACAACTTACGCATGGTTTAAGTATTTTTATTTAAATGAAAATTGTCAAAATCAATTTGGTTCGTCAGCTTTCAAAAGGAACAAAAACGATTTCCTCTTAACGTCATACCATATTTGCTTCTTGGTAAAGTTGAATATGTTTCTTTTTCAGCTATTTTTTAGTTTTAATTTTAAACTTTGTAATTAGCAGATGGAACGAAGCAACACCTTCTTTTGTAAAAGGATGAGATGAAAAGAAAAGTTGGGTGTGGTTTGCAGGTGACTGCTATCTTTTTCAAATATAGTGTCCACCACTGTATTCCAAATAAGTATTGAACAAAAAGAGCTAAACATGTGTGGTTTTCGGTTTCTAAAAGTACATATAAACGTAAAGAGTGTGCGCTATGAGTGTACGCTATGAGTAATCAACTCTGTGAAATTCTACACTGTAGGAAAACGTCTCCGACTCTATGCTATAGAAGCATTACATTAACTTACATAAAGAATGTTCAGTGAGAAAAGGTAATTTTGAGCAAATCTGAGTATGCGAGAAGTCTCACTTCACCAAATGTTCAGATGGTAACTACGCTTTCAGACCGAAAGTTTCAACTTCAATGATAGAGAAAGGTACTTTTCAGTTGCAGAGAAAATGGGTCATCATTGCTAAAAAGTAATGATTTTCTCGAGTTCTGGAAAAAATTAAATCGATCGGCCAAATAAGCCGTATAAAATCCGTTTTAAAATTTTCAATTAACGATATTTTTGACAAAAGCTTTGCAATGTAGCGAAGAGTCTACTTTTCTGATGCTGATTTTATTGTTTTTGATTTCAGATCTATGCTCTGAAAAAAAAGACTTTATTCATGCATCTCTGCTGTAATCTACGAAAAGTATCTCTGCTGTAATCTACGTATCTTGAGTGCATCCAGGTGTGATGGTGCTAATTTTAGATGTTGTAGATGTTATGGTGACGATGGTGATTGATGATGATGATGATGCTAAGTCATAGATTTTCTTCTGAACTGGCAAAATAAGCCATCTCAAGTAGCACCAATTCAGAAAACTGAGTTTTAAAAAAATTAATTTTTTCTGCAAAAAAGGTTCTAAAATTCTGTATCTGGTAGATGTGGTTTGAAAAATGTTTAGCTTTTCCTGAAGGGTACCGAGGGTGCGGAAAGTCCAGAACCGAAATTACGAAAAATAGCTAATGCTATTTTGTTTCCTATGCCAAAATACCTATAATCTGATGGTTTCACTGAAAAATCTCTTGGGCAGCAAAACGGCCTTATACGTCCTCCTCCTTTATAACAAGCAAACATGTTTTTGAGTTTTCCTTTTTTTATCAGAATGTTTGAAGGAACTAAACAGTTTTATATCTGATTACTTACATGTAAAAGTTTTCTGCCATTTACTTCCAAGGAATATCCTCGTAGAAAAATTTGACTCGAGTAAATTTCCTTCGTTTATGTTTGATAGCTAAAGGAATAAATACTTCCATTTAAGTTTCTTGCGTTTTCTAGATGAATCTTCTGTGAAAATTTTATTGAATTTGGAGCTTGCCTAAACTTGGCGCGCTCGGTGTACGGAGGACCGCTCTTCGGAAATACTTAGCAGAGAAAGAAACATTATTTTCTCGGTTTCATAGTATTCCCCCCAAAAAATCTTTTTTACGATAGACAGAGTGAAAGTGGGAAACCACATCATATTTAAGTAGAAAAACGGTAGTGCAGTTTTTTAAGATTTGAGTAGCAGGTCATATATTCCAGCATACCCTCTATCTTTTGGCATTAGAAGTATTTTTCTAAGTGCCATAGGCCACGTTTATACTACAAAAGTTAAATGAGCTAAAACGAAGCTGATTGTATCTGCGCGCACTGAACTATTGGAAAAAAAAGAATGATGAGCAGTGTGAGGTTAAGAAGGCTTTTTTCAGCCATTTTTTGTTCATTGTACAATAGTTTCTGTTACTGATGCACGGATCAACATATGATATTGTAACGAAATTACTATAAAAAATGTACTAAGAACTCTTCAATGTTAGATTGTAATACATTCCACGTCTGTTTAAAAGTTCTTGATGTCCACCACATTCAACAATTTGTCCCCGATGATTCATTACATAAATCAAATCACAATTTACAATTGTTGATAAACGATGAGCAATGATAATACATGTAAGCTTTTTATCTTGTAAAGTACAATCGATCGCTTGTTGTACAACCTTCAACAACAGAAGATCATTCTTTCGTGTCCTGCTCAACAAAATATAAATAGAAACAAACCTTTTCGTTCTCGCTATCCATTGCACTAGTTGCTTCGTCGAAGAGTAATATTTCTCGACGACCTATGAGCGCCCGAGCAATTCCTGTTCGTTGTTTTTCACCGCCAGACAACTTCATCCCCTTCGCCCCAACGTCTGTCTCATAGCCCTAAAAAAACTGTCTTAGTTGAACCGAGAAGCTTTATGCGCAAGAAATGTCTCACGCACATCCCATGGCGAACGTTCGTGAGACATTTAACGGAAAGAACCGCAAAAAAAATACGGTCCGTTTTTCTTCCAAAAATCTGTAGTAAAATTTCCATTGCTCACGTAACATTACACATATGAATTTTGCATGCATTTCTTTGCAGAAGTGAAAAATTTTGCAAAACAACGCAGAAAAACTCATCGTTTTATGGCAACTATGACATTAAATATTATATGCAGGAACGAATTCTTTGGTATTCCATCGCAAAAGATTTTTTGCCTATTGCATTCAATAAACTTTCTGCCACTCTTTGGTAGAAGAGTACTCCGTACTTTCTTGTTGGTGGCCTCTACCTTCGCATACACTTCCCTGGCACCATATCCTATATTTAGCAGCAGTCACTCGCAGAAACTTCTAAGCTAATTTTACTAGAAAAGTCGCGATTTATATAAACATGAGGTTATACAAATTCCATTTTTTCAACATTTCTGCTTTCACGACGACTCATCGCGATGACTCATTGGTATTGTTGTGTTATTAGACCAAAAAGACATCTTGCAGAAAGAGCAAAAAAGCATATGCAGAACAACACAAAAACAATATTCTACAATAAAAGGCAAAAAGCATCTATTCTCTGCACAAGTAGACGTTCACATTTTTGTCAAACTTTCGAACTGAAGACTCTGTGGACTGCGAGAACGTCTCGATAACTTAAGCACACCTTTCTCTTTAACCTAAGATGTTTCTGTTCTTTGGACCTTTCACCATTTGAAAATTATAAGAGAAACAAAATGCCGTCCGTACTATAACGTGTTATAGTATGGATTGTCTTAGTTGTGCTATGGTTGGGTAATTTACAGTCAGTATTGTCGCAAAATTTATTTTATTCAAACATAGTCCATTTAGAATTCTAAAAGATAAAGATGCGAGATGTGTGTGTGTAATGCTTTTATTTTTACCCTATTGGGCCTATAAAGACAATCGTGCACAAAAAAAAAAAAAAAAAAATAGGAAAGAGCAGTTCGATATAAAAAGTTAAGAAGTTTGACAATTAAAAAGTTCTAGAAAGATTTAGAAAGGATATGACCAGGGGGAGCGAGAGAGAACAGTTCACAAAAACGAATCTGGAAAGACACAAAAATTGTCAAACTCTGTTTCAGATAGCTGAAGAATAGAGTTATCACAGTTATTTTTTTGACTCCACATAGCACATCTTTGAATAACAGAGAGATGCGGAGCGAAACGTTTTGAACGAAAGAGTTTTTTAATAACAAATGCTTTTAGCAACCACTGTTCTCTATACACATTTAACGCATAAGGTTCGTATAGGAGGGCACCATCAGTTGTAAGTTCTAACGCCCGCCAATATTTTTTCCAATAGGAGACGCAATGATCCTCAAGCGCTAATTCTTTGTACATAAATGCGAAGGTGAAATCGTTCCACAAAATCGCGCCATACACTCGACGTCAACAAGTACAATAAAAGTGGGAAAAATCTGACTGCTGACATTCTGTAAACAAGGGGAAGATGGGGAAAATCCAAGTAACTAGGGGAAACAGATACGTAAAAAACAACATTCGTTTAAATTCTAGACTACGTAGTGCATCCGTTCACTCTGCAAGATTTTATCATAGCGATCCTTTGCCTAATTTCTGTTTTGGATATAGATATCCCCCCATCCTAGTCTAAAAGATAACCAGTAGCCTAAATATTTAAAACTAGTTACCCATTCTATCTGATGGATACCACAAAAAATATTAAAATCAGGTTTTCTTGGCGCACGTGAAGACCATAATGCCACAGTTTTGGAGTAGTTAATCGGCTGAACCATTATCACTGAATTCAAGATAATCAAGGAACTTCTTTAGACGCCTCTCTAAATCCCAACACTGTTGGGTAAACTTCACACCAATCATTCCCGCAAGAACACTGGCTAGATCGTCAGCAAAGAAATTTGCTAAAGATATTTCTAAAAAGGTCCACATATCCGAGTGATAGGTGATAAAAACTGTGGGGTAAGGAATGAACCTTGAGGACCGCCTCTCTTAATAGCGAACAAGCGAGAGCATTTCCCGTCCATTTCAATAAAGCCGTGCCTATCTTTAAGCCAGGCACCAATCCATTCTACGTACGCTTTAGGTATCCCAATGTGGGACAACTTTGCCAAACAGCCCAACCATCAAAGTTGGTCGAATGCCTGTTTGAAATCCACGAAAACGGTAGCGACCGGCGAGTTGTTGCTCATTAAGGATGAGATTTGGTCTATCAAGAGAAGAACCCGAGATTGGAGGCGGAATTTAGATCGAAAACCTGACTGAGAATGGTGCAAAATACCTCTTCTTTCTAAGGTCCTTTGAAATCGAACCAGAAAGAGACGCTCTAGCAATTTGAGAAACACATCAAGGAGAGAAATAGGACGGGTATCGGCAATTAGACAAACGGATTCCTTTTTTGCTAGTAATTTCATTTTCACTGTTTTCCAATAGGATGGATCAACGAATGATGTTAAGGATAAATTAAAAATTTTTAAAATACCTATCCAGAAGGGAGAGGGGATAAACTGAAACATAAACGCGGAGATGCCATGTGAATCGAAAGAGGTTTTTTTCTTAACTTTGGACAGTGCTTTCATAAGTTCTGGCAAGGTTATTAGTGGGATGAGTTCGTCCTGGTTCTCCCAGATCATCCCAGGACGGTACACGATTGTCTCGTCGAACAATTTTTCGTAATAGTCAGCCGCCATACACAGCATGTCCTCCGTATTATTGATAACCTCACCGTTTTCTGACAAAAAGGCTTTTAAAGTGCAATTAGCTCTAAAATTCTTCCTTACTTTTGACCAAAACCCAACAGAGGATCTTGAAGAGGTATATCGCTCACTCATAGATTGCCCCAAATGAGCAAGGAGATAATCAAGAAGCTCAGCTTTGTTTCTTTTTCTTAATTCTTTGATTTTTACTTTTAGAAGAGCGTCACCTGTTCTTCTAGCTCTCCATGACAGAGCTCGAACATATGAGAGTTTGATCCGAAGCTCCTTAGAGATCGCGACTCGATATTGTTTTAGAGGAAAATAAACCGTACAACGAGATTTTAGGAGGGAAAGAAAAGGAATAAAAGTAGGATAAACAACTTCCCAAGATGAATGCTCCCATTGTAATGACCAGAAATCAGAAGTAAATGACATAAAATAATTAAAAACAACCCAATGAGTATTATAACTAAACGCAGTTTCTTTTCGCTCGCATGCGATAATGCCAAGAACGGGTTCATGGTCACTTGTGGTATTGGTATCCCAATTTTGAACTACAGGGGGAACTCCAGCAGCGAACGCATAATCAGTGAGACGGTTAGAACGTTTAGAGGTCGCCTTATTAGGAAGAATATGTGACAAAAAGAGAGAATCGGCCCACTCAAGGAGGATTGTGGACCTAACATTATCAACCGGATCGTCTAGATCAACATTAAAGTTACCAAAAAGCACACATGAACTAGAGACAAATGGGGAGAGGACGTCCCACGTCCATCTACTTCTGGGAGCATACACCCCAACGCTACGTAAGACTTGCTCTAAGGTGATATCTGCTACACACACATTAGGTATATCACATTTTACCCGAGTACAGAAAATACCTGAACGGAAAACTAACACGACACCTCCTCTACTATTTTCACCGGCCTGGTAAAAGAATCTAAACCCATTGAAAGTTTGTGAGAGAAAGGAAAAATTTATCGCCCCTACCTCTAAATGAGTGAAACATATAAGGACGGGGTACCCTTTAACCCGCTAAGAGATATTGAAAGCGATTGTTATCATTATGCTTAGAATTGCTTCAAACCGCAGGACATTGAAGGGTTTTCTCGACTTTTACAATTTTTTTTCGATCATCACGCACCTACTATAAAAAGCGCTCGTTTCCACGTACAACTGTTTTATTCGTTTTGTATGCTGACCAATAGAAATTCAAAATGGCTGACAGGCCTAAAATTCTACGTGCAGCGCTTCTTTTTCCAAAAAAATAATGAAATTCTTGCGTAATTATTGAAAAGAAGCCTTAATTATAATTCTCCCACCAAATTTGCACCGAAACAAACTTGAGCGCGAATTAAAGCTGTGAGTTTGGCGCCAAATCGATCTAATGAACTTCTTGTTTAGCTGTTCTGATAGATTCTTTTATTACTGATCACGCGTACTCATTTAATTGTTAGTTAAACTATTCACTCTTTTTGCATCATGTTCCCGAAGAAAAAACCGGGTAAAACATGGTGAAATAAATAAGAAAAGTTACTCGTATACTTTTGTGCTCGGTTTATCTGCCGTACTTTTAGCTTGTGTTCCTTCATAGCCGAGGGCGTGTGCGGGTTGTGTGTACTTTATTTTAAAGAGCAAATCAAGGCGGACTAATGCCACTACGAGACACGATTCTTGTACTACGTCGTGAAATAGTTGGTTCATGTCCAACTATTTGAAGAAAATCTTGAACTGCATGGTATGAAAAGGCAATGAAATCTTATTCGATCTTGTATAAAATAAAATTCTACCCACGCTCGTTCAAATAAGCTATAAACTACCCGAGTATGTCTTTTCGACTTAACACATTTTACGACTTTACGCAATGGTGAGCCGTTCGTCAAAGTTCTGTACAGGTTTTTCTGATAATCGAATCGCATACATAGAACATCGAGAACCACTCGTGTAAACAGACATGTAATTTTCCTTCACATCGTTTGTCATCGTAAATCAACTGATCTTACGGTATATTATAGGGAGTTTATAAGATTCTGAGTTCTTATGCGCGAATCTCATCATCTTCTTATATAGATGTCCTATAAAATTTTTGCAGAAATCTGCAGGATTACTATGTTTATCCTGTACAAGACTGAATGATTCTCTACGATCGAAGCTGAAATTATTTAGCTGTATTTTATTTGA